GGTACATTTACACCTTCGGTAAAAAAGTTTTTTTTTTTACTTACAAGATTTCGTTCACACGCCGCTTTTCCAATGAGATAGGAAAAACTTATTTTTTGCGGGAATTTTGAATTTTAAGTTTTATTTTAGAAGGTGAAAGAATGTTCGTATTGATAAAATGAAATTATTATTAGAGAAAGACAATTTTCAATTTAATTATATTATAATATAAATAAAGAAGAAGATTTTGTAATTTACAATAAAGTGAATTATTAATAGAGTTTCTCGAGCTCAGTCGATTCAGTTTGTTCTGGCCACGAGAATGAAACACGATGATAAACAGTTTTACGTTCATCGTCAATAATAATTCTCGATAGTTTGTAAGTAAGTATATTTTTAAATATTATTAAAAATAAATCTTGAACTTTTTATTTACATTGATAAATAAAATGTATTGTTTTTGTAGTCTTTTGAGCACGCAGTGTTTTTAATGCTTGACAACATAACCTGTACATATGTATTATATTATTGTAACATTAATGTTTTTTATGAAATAAAAATAAAAAATGTTATTAAACTTCACACATTTTTATGAACTATTATTATTTAAAGTATATATGGTAATTCTTTTGTACTGTTAAACACTTGTTTAGATAATTAAGCTTAATATATACGTATTCGGTTTGTCGTCAAACATCACGAAGGATTAATTTTGCGTGTTTAAATGAAATATTAAAATTTTTATATTTTTGCAAGCAATCATTTAAATAAATCATTAACAAATTTTCTTTTCTTTATTTAATATTATATTATATATTAATATTACATTTATGTGAATAAATCAGTAATATATTTTCTTTTCCTTATTGAATATTATAGTTGTCGGACAAAATGGATTCTAATTACCAAGGAGTAAGTTGTATAAAATAAAAATTATATACATTCTTTAATTAGTATTCGTTTTTAATTTACATCAAAATTCATTTTATTTTATAAATATTTTAAAAGGTTATAAATTATGTGGAAGATGAAGATGAATTTTTATCGGATACAAGTGTGGATGAGGACATTCAAATATTATTATTACTCAGGCGAAAACGTAAGCGAATATCTGAAAGGAGATTTTGGGTTCATCCTTTGTGGAAACGGCGAAAAGAACAAGGTAAAATAAATCATATAATTTTTGTTTAAAGTGTTCAAAAATTGAATTTTTAATTAATTGCTCCCAGTGCACTGATTTATTGAATATTCTGTAGACGTCCTAGGGATATCCAAAAGGTTTCGGGAGTTTGAATATCCATATAATGTCCCAGGGATGTCCATGGACACTCTTTGGACATTTTATGGATATCCGACTGCTGCGAGAATGAGCCGGTAATCCTTGAACGTCCACTGGATTTCATGAATTTTCTACTGCTGAGTAAATATGAAATGTAATCATAAAAGTTCATATATTTTCTGTTTATGAGTGATTCTTATAAATATGAGCTCTTGGATGTTCCGATTAATTTTTTAAAACACACTTAATAATAATTATTGTCAATTTACATTATTTACTTGCAAACTTTAGTAAAAATTGTGTAAAGATTTAAATCTCTCACTTAAATAAATGTTTATCGTCAAACTTTCCTGAACATTTAAATTAAATTTTCGCCTACTCTATTATTTCTTATTTCTATTTTATTTCTTAATATTAAAACTTAAGTCTTATAATTGTATACTCATAATACAAGATACCTTAAACTGGCAATCACTATAAGATTTACCCCTAATTGATTCTTAAAATACATAGGTGAAATAGAAATTGCAAGATATAAATTTCACTACTTTTTAAATATTTTTTTCCTACACATTTTCCATCTTCTGATTTAAGATAATGATGCTGACGCTTATTTATTCTTATTTAAGTTTTTATACATCCTAATACTTGGTAAATTTATTTAAAGATATAATAGATATCTTACTAATTTTTCATACAGGTATTCACGATAATCTTTACCTTGAGATGGCCTTTCTTGACCCATTAATGTTTAAAGAGTATCTACGTGTAAGTGTGGTTCAATATGAAGAACTCTTACAACTAACTGGACCATATTTGATAAGTGCTCCTACAAGAAGAGATGTTATCACTCCATCGCAGAAGCTAATTATTACTTTGAGGTATTATACAGAGAAATATATTTTAGGGGTAAGTTGTACATCTTGTTTTCACTTCATAAACATATAGCTTTATAATAGGAGATATTTAATTTCTTCATTATATTAATTTTTAGGATGCCTAACGTGCATTGAAACTTTGTGAACTAGTAGAGTGACGTAAAATTAGTTATGTCATAAAGAAATTGCGAATTCACCTTGACTTTTTTATCACTGAAATATTAAAGGATTAATTGTTTCTAAAAATTAACAGTCCAAGTTTTTTTAGTGTGAAACTAAAATTAAAATGTGATAGATTTTGGCCTACATTGTTGAAAAAATTTTTTTTATGAAATATTGAATTTTGAAACAGATTTTGAATGAAAGTTTACAATCCTTATTCAAAAACAATCTACGATTTTCAAATTATAAGAGTGTAGAACGTCTAAAAATTGTAAGATGTTTAGATTTTTATTTAATGTTTTTGTGAAATAGAATTTTTAAAAGTAAAGCAAGTTGCATTGCAAAGATATTAAAATCGCTCTCTAACGGTCAATATATATATATATTTATTATTTTTCCTAGTAATGAATCACATAAATTTTAATATTGTATTGAATAAACATTTATTGTTTAGGTTCTTGGCAACTGGAGAAAGCTTCAAATCTCTACAAGGACAATTTCGCATAGGGATTTCTACAATTTGTAATATTGTACACAAAGTTTTGGGATGCATTTGGAACATACTACAAGAAAAAGTCTTAAAAGCACCAAATTGTCCTGAGGATTGGAATCAAGTTATTAGGGGCTTTGAAGAAAAGTGGCAATTTCCTCATTGCTGGGGGGCAATGGACGGGAAGCATGTAGTAATGGAGGTAACTGTTGGTTAACTTGCTAAAAACTCCTTTGGAGGATTTTTTTCATCATTCTTATACAATACTTATACAATTACCAATTACAAATACCCAGTGGGCACAGGGACATGGAATGTCTTTGGGATGTCCCTAGGACATCCCTAGGATGTCCATGTCCGTTCAAAAGACGTCCCAAGGACATCTTATGTCCTAAAGACGTCATTTGGACATAAGATGTCCTCAGGACGTCTTTTGATCGGACATGGACATCCTAGGTTTGTCCTAGGGACGTCCTAAAGACATCCTTTGTCTCCGTGCCCACTGGGTAGCATACAATAGCAATTGGTAATTTTTTGTTTTCCATCAATTCATATTATTTTAATAAGAAATTAAAAAATTTGTTAAATTCATTTTTGAAAAATAATTTTAAACATGAATTTTATGAATAATTATCATCGCCTATTGTAAGCATTAGTGTCTCTCTTATCGTGTTATTTGTAATTAAATGTAATTATTTCAACTGCGACTATAAGTAGATTTATAAATTTAGTAAAACTTTGTTTTAAAATACGAAAATTTAGATGCAACAATTTGTTAGATAGCTTATTATTTTTACATTGTTTTTTAAACTTCGAGACTGTAGTATAATAATACTAAGTATATATTGAATAGGAGATAAAAATTTAAGTAAACTTTATTCATGAAGTTTAATATTTGCTTTATTATTACAGGCACAACCGAATAGTGGTTCCAAAAACTACGACTACAAAGGCCACCACAGTCTACATCTATTAGCCCTTTTTGACGCAAACTACAAGTTTTTAATAGTTGATGTTGGTGCCCATGGGAGGCAAAGTGACGGTGGTGTTTTTGCCAACAGTAACTTGTGCAAACGATTAAATGATAATTCTCTTCATCTTCCCCCTTCTTCTGCATTAATTCCAGGAGGTCCTCTTCTTCCCCACGTGTCCGTAGCAGATGAAGCTTTTGAATTAAATGTAATGTGATGCGTCCTTATCCTGGAAGATCTACAGGAAACTTACCAAATGATCAGCAAATATTTAACTACAGACTGAGCCGTGCTCGACGTATTATTGAGAATACATTTGGCATATTGGTTGCTCAGTGGAGAATATTCCGCAATCACATTAAAGGAAACATGGAGTTGGTAAACTTAATTATACCAGCAGCAGTTTGTTTGCACAATTTTTTAAGAATCAAGGAAGAAAATTCAAATGAATTCGAATGTCATTATTGCCCACCCACTTTAATAGACAGGATTGATCAGAATGAAAAGGAAATTAATGGAGACTGGCGTCATGATTTCAAAATGGATGCTTTTACATCTTTTCAAAGTCGTCGTGAAGAAAAACTTGCTGCAATGTACATCAGGGATGAATTTACAAAGTACTTTTTAAATGAAGGGAAACTCTCTTGGCAGCAAAGGAGAGTTGACGAAGGATCATTCTAAAATTATCTCGAACATACATACTCTTTATGGTAATTTGATTAAGTTAACTTGCATTTGACTACATTTTTATTTCAATAAAATTTAATTTTAATCTAATTCAAAGATTATCTGACGGAAGTAGCTTAGCATAAATTCGAAATTAATAAATAAAAACTTCATTATTTTTTACATGTTAATTTGAAAATACTCTAAAAAATATTCTTTAGACCATGTTACATTAGAAATTTTAGATAAATAAATATTCTAACAATGGAGAATTTGTTAAATTTTTATTCAAGCTAATTCTATTAATTGAAATTGATATTAAATGATTATTCGGTTATATGGATTCCTGTAATGAAATTTTTAAGAGAAAAATATATGTTTAATAAAGAAGGTGATCTGTTTATTAACTACATATTAAATACATATTTATTTAATATCACAAATATTGAGACGTAGTATATATACTGTTTCCAAAAACAATAGTTAATAGTAAGGCATTGGTCGTCAGATATTTTTTTTCTTTTTACACGTATAATCATAAAATACATTACCGCTTAGTTTGTACTTCAAATTTTTTTCAAACAAAAAAATATTAACAGTATTAAGAATACAGATTCATTTAAGCTACAAAACAATCGCTTTTGAAGCAATAAGAATCTGGAACAACTCTTCACGCTACTTATAAGTATATAGTTCAAGACTAGAACAAATTCCATAACTCAGTCTTTGCAATATAAGTATCCCAAAATGCAATTCAAAATAAGTAACAAAATTTAATATATAACGAAATTAAAGTAACCTTGGAATAGGTTAATGAAATAGAAAACATCGTTAAAACGATAAAGATATTTGAAATACCTATTAAAGTAAAAACGAAGTAAAAAATTCAATATTAAAATTCGTTGTTAAATACTGAAATCTTTTTTTTCTCAAAAATGTAATTAGTGATGAAGGCCTGAACTTCAAGCCTATCTGTGGGTGAAAAATTCTGTATTTCTTGACTCATCCATTGACCCCATTGCTGAATTTCGTTCAAACTTTTCCGTGAATCACGCTGCTGTGTCATTTTATTATTAATGTTTTCAATTAAGGCTTCCTCCAAAGGGTCTAATGGTTTCCTTCTTTTACCTGTAATAATATTCTAATCTATTTAAACAAATCTATTGATACATATTACAGAATAGTATTTTATACTCATGACGTAATTTTAAATGCTTTAAAATGTCATAATAAAATGTACAAAATATCATTCAATATATCATTTTTCATTTGACGAAAAAATTCAAACATGAAATAATATAAAATGAACATTGATTCTTATATGGCGCAGAGACACAATAAATAGTAAGTTATTGGTAATTATGTATTTACAAAATGAGATAAGAAATTATAAGTTACATTATTATTTGCAATAACTAAAATTTAGAATATGTAATTATATTTCTGCATAGTAAAAATAGAATCATGTTACAACTTTAAATTCAACGTACTTGAAAAAAAAGTTTCATTCCATGGAAAATGATAAAAAGATTCATTGAGAATTTTCTATTATTTCTACTTAATAACAATGATGACATAAATGGAATAATACGTATAGAACAATATTATAAAATATTAAAGTAACTCACTCGATATAGGAGATTCATTAGATTCTTTCTTCTCGAAACCTAATTTTCGAATATTTGCATGGACAGATTCTTCAGCGATTTCCGAAGAAGAAATGTTGGAAGTCGTGCTATAAAATATGAAGAGAGTAATATCATCAGCTAATTGTCAAACATCTGGATAAACAATGTGAAGCTCGAGTTGTTAACGACTTCTCATTAATAAAAAAGATTATGTTATATGTTTGTTATTTGTTTTGCACAAAATATGATCTATATTTTACTTGTTTCTATACATCAATGAATTGTCACTTAAGGTAATGATATTTAGTGGTTACGTACCCCATATACTTTAAAGTATATGGGGCACGTAAAAATGGAAATGTAGAAATATTGCCATGGTCCGGATCGGGACCAGACCGGGCTTCCCTATTAGGGAATGAAACGCCGCGCCCGATGTGGCCCTGGTCAGGAAATCGAGGTCCTGGTCTGGCCCCGATCGGGCGCGGCGTTTCATTCCCTACTAGGGCCCGGGTAGGGAAATTTCTGCATTACACCTAATAAATACATTACACCTAGTAACTTGACCTTAAGATAAGGGCGCAAATAAACTCTTAAGAACAGAGTACTTTCTTGGAACACGCTTTTTGGGCAATACTTAATTTCTACATCAAATCACTGTTCTTGTATTTATTGCAAAATTCATGTATCGGAATGACGCTCTTAATTAATATTTCCAAAGGGCAGACATAATCAATGTTGACGCAATGTTGTCTTAACATTTTTCGTCAATATTGGCAATATTTTCAAGCAATGTTAAAGCATTATTGAGTTCAAATTGAGTTTTATTTAGGTTAAAATAAGATTTTTTCAATTGTGTTTATGTTTGCCATTTAATACTTGCCTACTAGGATTCATTACTCCTCTAAGGAACGAAAAGTGTTCGTCAAAAATCCAATATTTCTTTTGTTTACCCGCTGCTCCACTCCGAGGTTTAACATTCCTGCGTGTAAAAATATTTTTCAAATAATTGTAATTATCCTTGGCTATTTTAGGTGTCCATCCTGTAAATGTTAAAAGTGGTTGAGTAAAATATGTAAATTTTTTAGATACATGAAAATTTAAGAAAGCTTTTTAGTAATATATTTATTTTATTTTTAAAAATGAGTTTCTTTTTGCAAAAATATCTTCCCACATAGCACCGAAACTTTCCTAAAAATTTATTAAAGATTTACTTGCAAACTTTAGTAAAAATTGAGTAAAGATTTAAATATCCCCCTTCAATAAATGTTTATCGTCAAACTTTCCTGAACATTTAAATTACATTTTCGACTACTCTATTATAAGTAAAAATATGTTATGAAATTTTCAGGAAAGTTTGACGATAAACATTTATTGCAGTGGGAAAAAATCTTTACACAATTTCTGCTAAAGTTTACAAGTAAATAATTCCAAGTTTGCAAGTCAATTTTTAATAAATTTTTAGAAAAGTTTCGATGCCATGTGGGTTTTAATTTTCCGACATATTATGATCCGAATTTCCCGGTTTGTAGCTTGTAAGGGAAAATTTTTATCTAAATACCATTGAATAATATGAAAACTATATTATATAACGATTGAAATAAGTCCAAGAACGTTGAAAAACAATCTCTTCTATCAGGTGTCATTTTTTCATAATTTCATTAGTTTTTAAGGAAATAAAAGGAAAAGTTTCTTTTTTGTTTATTTTCAATGTTTCACCATTTTCAGCTCAAGAAAAAAGGGATGTCCATTCAATTATAGGTGGTACTGTTAAGTGCAGGTATTACATACATTTTGATGGTTCTTATGAACAAGCATGAGAATAAATGTTTCCATTTATAGCATATTAATTTTTATTATTATTAATATTAATTATTAATATCATATTAATAAAAATTAAAATGACATTGTTTTGAAAGCTGTATTCAAATTTAAAAAAAAATTTTTTCTTCTATCCATAAATGTTAACAATATAAATTAATTGAAATATTCATTGAATGATAAATTAACTTAATATGATTAGAGTACTCTATTTCATTTCATAGCGACCAAGAATGAATGACAAAATAAGTTTTTAAAATTTCGTTACAAAATATTTCAGATAAAATTACTTTTTTTCTATTCGTTTTTGTAAATTATGGTGTTTTCTATATTTGCTCTCACAAAAAACGAGTTTTCATAAAGTATTCACCCAAATATATAATCAATAAAATTAGCAAACTGCATATTTTACATAGGATCCTATCTAAATGTCCACATAAAATTCTCGCGATGAATTCTTTAGACAATTTATTTAACTTACCACTGAACTTTTTGGCTATATTAAACCACGCGTTGCCAATTAAGTGTGAATTGCGTTTTTCAATGGGCAATGTAAAATTCCATAAGCACTCATTTTCCTTTACTAATTCCAACAGCGTGATCAAATTTTTTTCAGTTGCCTCAGCAATGCCCATTTCGTTCAATTCGATTTCATTCCTATTTTCTTCATCAACAATCGGTTGGATTGGTGGTGAAGAGATAGTCTCCCCAGTTTTTAGATTCATCATTCTATTTTTCGAATAAGATTGATTATTTTCAAGAGATTCCTCTGCTATTAAATTAGGATTTTTTTAGTACTGATGAAGTTATCAAGTCATGAGAATTAATTTGTGTGGGAGCAGTTGGTGGTAAAGAGATAGTCTCCCTAGTTTTTAGATTCATCATTCTATTTTTCGAATTAGGTTGATTATTTTCAATAGATTCCTCTGCTATTAAAGTAGGATTCTTTAGTACTGATGAAGTTATCAAGTCATGAGAATTAATTTGTGTGGGAGCAGTTTTAACGGTCCACATTTTTTGAGAACCTATACTTGTTTTATAAGTAGCAAAATCTACAGATTCGACACTTTTGACAATAGGAAGATTTTTGCCCTTAATCTTAACTGGATTGTTAATTTGGTTCATATCTGCCTGTAAAACCTAAATACAAGAAACAGTTCCATATTAAGTAAGCTTTTTAATGTTTATAGCCAAAAAATCAATTTTATTTGATTTAATATTGTTTTACATCGCTTTAGTTACTTTTTAAACAAAGATTTAATTATGTAAATAGAAAAGTGCCTTTTACACAATTTGATATCATAGGAATGAACAAATTCGTTGCTTTCATTTTTAAGATTGCGTAATTCGATGCATAAAAAAAATATTCTCTCCTCAATTCTGCTCCTTTTTTATTTAACATCAGAATGACTCAATTGAGCCAACTAGAAGTCAAAATTTTTAACAACATCGTTGGTTTTATAATTACTTGAGTCGTGGAGCAAAGCTTTTATTGGTGAATTACATAAAATTTCAACAATAAAACACTTGATATAAAAGTTTGAAACAATTAGAATCAAATTTACAGACAATAAAAAGTCTCTCTTAAAAAATGTTTACATTTTAATGATATTTTAATATATTTTGAATAAATGATGTAGATTCATTATTTATATTTTCTAAAATACTAACCTCCTCTTCATCTTCATCCAAAAACTCAATATTGTCATAATCGCTTTGGTTAACAATAACATTTCCAATACATGTTATTTTATCAAAGTCTATATTTTGAAAACACCCATGTCTCCATCCGTCTTTATAAGGAACTTTTTCTTTGCACATTTCGCAATAAAGATGTCTCAATACCTAATAATAAATAATTGAAAATAATTAATAGTTTTATTATATGCGTATCTCTAATTAGATTTTTAATGCGACTAATCTTTTTTTCAATTACAATACAATTATTATATTTTATTTATCAAAAATGACATATTTTGCAATTTTTAATTATTAAAAATACGAGATGGCAATTAACATTAATTAATTTTTATATTGATGAAGCCTGATGCTTATTTATATTTTTACCGTTATTTAAAAAAATTTTCATAACTTCAGAGAATTATTTTTGCAACTATAATATTTTTAATATGCTGAAAAAGTTTTAAAATATAATTTAAAAATATATTTAATCTATTAAAATGAATACATCAAAGACAAAATGAGAGTAGAATAATCGTTAGATAATAATGTTACAAAATTATTACATGTTTTATTTACGGTATATTTATAATTATAATTACAGTAGGGATTCGATTATTCGTTCACTTTGTACTTTTATCGATTATCTGAATACATGCCTGCATCCATTTATCCGGATAATTGAGTTTCTACTGTACATGTTATTTAAAAAAAATGTTATTTATGATTTCAAATTATTTGTAAACGTTCTTATTAAAAAAACTTTTAAAGTAAAAAATGTATATATATATTTTTCATTTTATACAACTTACTCCTTGGTAATTATAGTCCATTTTGTGCGGCAACTATAATATTAAATAAGGAACAGAAAATTTGTTAATGATTTATTTAAATGATTGTTTGCAAAATTATAAAAATTTTAATATTTCATTTGAACACGCAAAATTAATCCTTCGTGATGTTTGACGACAAACCGAATACGTATATATTAAGCTTAATTATCTACACAAGTGTTTAACAGTACAAAAGAATTACCATATATACTTTAAATAATAATAGTTCATAAAAATGTGTGAAGTTTAATAACATTTTTTATTTTTATTTCATAAAAAACATTAATGTTACAATAATATAATACATATGTACAGGTTATGTTGTCAAGCATTAAAAACACTGCGTGCTCAAAAGACTACAAAAACAATACATTTTATTTATCAATGTAAATAAAAAGTTCAAGATTTATTTTTAATAATATTTAAAAATATACTTACTTACAAACTATCGAGAATTATTATTGACGATGAACGTAAAACTGTTTATCATCGTGTTTCATTCTCGTGGCCAGAACAAACTGAATCGACTGAGCTCGAGAAACTCTATTAATAATTCACTTTATTGTAAATTACAAAATCTTCTTCTTTATTTATATTATAATATAATTAAATTGAAAATTGTCTTTCTCTAATAATAATTTCATTTTATCAATACGAACATTCTTTCACCTTCTAAAATAAAACTTAAAATTCAAAATTCCCGCAAAAAATAAGTTTTTCCTATCTCATTGGAAAAGCGGCGTGTGAACGAAATCTTGTAAGTAAAAAAAAAAAAACTTTTTTACCGAAGGTGTAAATGTACCTTAAGACATTTATTTTGACATAATGTTAGGGTTGTCGCACAATGGCTTCACGTATGTAAGACATTTATTTTGATATTTAAGAAGTAGAACAAAATAATCATGGATGGCGCTATTTCCTTGGCGGATTGTTTAAAATATTTAAAAATTAAGTCTTGTCCTCCTTCCTTATATTTTCATTGTCCTCAATGAAAGTTTGCAGGTGGAGTTTAATTGAATCTAAACCGTTGTTGTTGTATTTGTACGTCTTTTTCGCATAGTTATGACTCTATACAATATGTATAAATTTTTAATAACTATGAGAGCGATTAAGAGAAGTAATATTTTAAAGGCCATTGAAATGTAGGTGGTTGCGTCAGAAAATATCCCCAAAAATGGAATTTCCATCTGAAAAATTAATTTTTTATAAGTTTTGCTTTTTTTGTGTAAGCACCTTAAAATAATTTTTTTTTTTGAAACATAATTATTAGTGACATAATTCTATGGACAATTGTAATATGATTGTTTGTAACTTTCTTTAAAATAAGGAGGAAAGAAGAAGGCGACCTCCAAATCCCCTTCCTTCTTTTCTTTCGCCCTTCTTTTATTTATTTATTTATTTTATTATTTACTTATTTTTTTTACAACTTTTGATAATATATTTATTGATTGATTAATTATTGACTGTCATAACAAATTCTTATAATTATGTTGTGTTTATTACTAATTATTAAAATATTTATTTTGATAGTTAGTTTAAATTTTTATATTATTCTTAAAACATTTTTAAGTATAATTTTGCCATTCGTTTATCTATATATATTTTTTTTAATCCCAACTGTCATTGTCATTGTATCTTTTCTTGGGCTCGTCAATTGGTTTTCCTGGGATTTCCAAGAATTCATCGCTATTTTCAGTTTCTGTACCTGTCTTTGGTATTAGTCGTTTGTTTCGGATAGGCCTATTACAGTTTGATTTTATATGCCCTCTTTCATAACAGCTTTCGCAACTTTTAGTCCATTTATAGAGTTTTAATTTTAAAATCGTTGGTTGTTCTAAGCACATTACATAAGTTTTTACATTCAAACTGGATGATTCTTCTTCGCAAAAGTAATAAGTATCATCTAATTGCTTTAGAATTTTATATGCAGCTGTATGTTTAGCATCTCTTATTTTCCTTTCATTTTCCGCTAAAGTTACAAACGTATTACCATTATTAAGGTCTTTTAAAGTACATTTGACAGTATATCTCCTACAGTTAGGTGGTCCTGTTACTTTTTCTATTACATATGTGGGTTTAGTAAAATCGTATTCAATAGCTATTTCCTCTAACTCCTTTTTTGGGAATTCGATTCTGCTAATATTTCCTTTAGGAAATTTGTTTTCCTCGATCACTTCTCCTTGAATGGGTGGTGTTTGGAGTACCAGTTGAGTCATCTATAAAATATAAAATAGTATTATTATTTTTATTCATACGAAAGTTTTAATTTATCAACGTGTTTTTGGAACCTTTGACCTTCTTCATTTGTTAAAATTACATTATTTTTGTCTAAGATATCTACGATTTTGTATGGACCGTGATAGTGTGGGTCAAATTTCTTTTTGATACCTTCTCGAATTACATAGGCTTTGTCACCTATCTTTCCTTTAAACAATTTAACCTTTCGGTCGTATCTTTCTTTTGATTTCCATTTTGCTGCTAATAAATTATTTGCTGCGATGATTCGAATTTCCTTTAATCTAGTTATTAGTTCAGTCAAATAGGAACCATATGTTTCTAATTTTTCTTCCGAAGGAAAGGAACTAGGAGTACAGGTTATCTTTCCAAAGACAAGCTCGTAGGGAGTGAAATTAGTCGCTTCATGAACTGAAGTATTGTATGCAAGCATGGCGAAAGGTAATAATTTATCCCAGTCATCATAATCGGCAGCATTTTGCTTGATATATTCTACTAATACAGCATGACTTCGCTCCAAGAGTAGGTAGTAGGTAATTTTCCTACAGTATCTAGTGAAACTTTATCAAAAGCGTCTAATGGAGTATCTGTGATAAGCATTGGTTCACGGGTTTTAATTCGAACTAGTTTTTACTCTTGACAAGTGGGACATTTTCGAATGAATTTGGTTACTTGATTTTTCATTCCTGGCCATGAAAATTTTTCTCTTATTCTTCTGTATGTTTTAGTTACTCCTTTGTGTTCTGCTATGTTTCTTCTGTGAAATTGTTTAATGATGTACATTCAGACTTCTTCCTTAGGTACTGATATTTGTCCGTAACATATTATTAGTTTTCTATTACTATTTTCAAAAATGGAGTTGAGGATTTGTAAGAACTCTCCTCTTGCTAGTTCGTCGGTCAAATCTCCTTTTCTGAATATTCTTATTTCTTCTATTTTCCCTCGATAACAAAAGGTTTTTAAATTTTTTAATCCAATATATACATTTTCTTTAATTAATGGGTCAAAATGATTATGTTTTATAACTATACTGAAAATATTGTATTTTCCTCTTGGGGTTATTATAATTTGTCCTTTTATTGGTTTTTTTGTTCTTGTACATCTATTACTCCTATGTCAATAAGTAATCTGCTAATAGAAGTGTTAAATTCGCAATCTGCAGATATAAAATGAACATAGTTGCCTTTATAATATGTAAGATTTTCTCTACTGCTCATGATATTTGTGTTTTCTTTCTTTATTCTGGAAAGGCTAAATGGTATTTCTGGATAAACACTGGATAAAGGGGTTTTTATTATAAGTCTTTTATTTTGATCATCTTTATTTTTTTTTCTTTTACAATCTTCTAATTCTTCACTACTTGATTCTGTCTCTATTTCTTTTATTTCCCCATGATATGGTGTGGATGCTGCTGTAGGGTTGTTGAGGTAGGCAAAAGTGTTCATATCGTGAAAGGTTACACTTTTTCGATTAAAGTTTTTATCTCGTTTCGTGGTTGGTGTATCATGTATTTGTTGTTCTTCTTTTTCTATCGCTCTTCCATCTCTTTATTCTATTCATCCGAACCTTAAGTCTCAAAATTAATTCCATTGTTTTCATTATTTGTTTCTGAATTTTGCTCTTTCCACATTGATTCACCCTTGGCATAGTCCTAAATAAGCTCTAATTGTTGTGAAAAATCGGAATGATTACCTGGAATATAATCTAAGGCTGCTTCGTGAACTGCTTCATCATCATCTCCGTCAGAATGAATAGGCCAATTTCTATGGGGCTTTGACGAGTTTTTTAGCCATTCTTTACGTTGTTTTAATGATTCATCAAAACGAGCAAAAGAATCATGTAATTCTGCTCTTTGTTGTTTATTGTTGTGTATAATTTATTATATCCCTTTGTTCTACTGAAGAACTTTCTTCGCTAGTATAATTAGGCGGTTCTATTGTAACTATTGGATTTTTTATGTTGTCTATAGTAAGGTTAAATTTCGGTAGTAATTCAGGTGGTGCACTTTTTGGACTTTTTATTCCTGCTGGAGGAAGTTTTAAGCTTGGGAGGACACTTTTACTTGGTTTTTGAATAGGCGGGTTTGGTCTTATAACTTCTTGTGAACTTTTTTCTATTTTTTCTATAAGGTCGTTCTTTAATTGAGCTGACCTTCTTTTTGAAACTCTTAATCCTATTGTACTTACATCTAATGTTGCAGTAGATGTTGGAGGTTTTAAAATAGATTTTAATTAAGAATTTTCAGTGCCTTTTCTTGGTCTGCCTCTTTTAGGCTTAATATTAGAATCTACTTTTAGTTTTACCTTATCAAGTTTTTTATTCATTAAAATTCTAATTGGTTGAGTGTCGTTTTTTGAAATTTCTTTGTCATCTGAATAGACATTTCTGGATAATGCATCTGCATTTGTGTTTAATTTACCAGATTTATGTTGAAATTCGTAATCATAATCTCGTAATTTCAATCGCCATCTGATTAATCTTTGTCCTGTATCCTTTATTGTGTCTATCCACCTTAAAGGTTCGTGGTCACTAACTAGAGTAAATTTCTTACCATATATGTACGGTCTGAAATGATGAACTGCATATAAAACTGCTAAGCATTCTTTCTCTGTTGTTGAATAATTTAATTCGGGTGTATCCATCTTTGTCTTGACTTAATACTGCTCCTATTGCAAAATCTGAAGCATCTGTTGTTACGGTTAAAGGCTTGCTGTAATCTAGGTATTAACACAGTTTGCAAAATGTTTGTTTGACAAGGTTTTATAATGTTTTATTTTTATTAATTTGTTTAATTTTTATTTTATAATGTTTTGTTCCGTTACAAGGAGCAATGAAACCGTCGACTTGGTTTTTTCGCGATTCGGATAATCTCGTGTATATTCGGAACGCGCCTGCGCGTTCGCTTTGAAGGAATATACTTGTTGAAGAGGGGATAAGAAGAGTCAAACAAACATTTTGCAAACTGTGTTTTAATCCACATTTCATTTCATTAAAACGATTACAAAATTGCAACAATTATTGTTAAAAAACAATATTGTAAACTTGAAAAAGAAACAAAAGTTAATTTAATTTTTTATCAAATTATTTATAACAATTTTTTTATCATGAAAAACAATTTTATAGTAAGTTGATAGATTAGGGAAGTTATTAAAATTTTTATATAAGAACAGTAAAATTTCTAAAAAAAATATATAAAATTTAAAAAAATTTGTTTAAAATAATTGTTTATAACAATTATTTTTTAATGTAAATAAAATGGATTTATCCTTAAAACAAAGTTTAAATCATTTGGATAGTTTATCAATTGTTTTTGTTGTTACATTTTGTAAAAAAATAAAATTTTAAAGAAATCAATAAATATGTGTTAGTTGTTTATTTAAAAATATAAATAATTAATAATTAAGCAATAAAAATGACCCGATTTATCTTATATTTATCACTGATCATTAGCCAAGAGGAACTATTTAATTCTGTTAAGATTTACGGGCTATTAGTACTTTTGAACAGCTGCTTGCATACAGCGACTAGCATTGAAAGCGCAGTTCGCCGCTGCGCGAAAAGACAAAAAATTCAATATCTCGGAAAGTTTAAGAGTCTCCATCGATTTTTTTATGAAAATACTCGTGAGATCCTAAGGAATCGAAATATTAGTATTAGAAAAAAATTAAAGATACGTTTATCAAAGAAAAATTTGTTTAAACAATAATAATTTTTTATTTTTTTTGTTTAAAAAAAAAAATTTTTTTTTGTAAATTTTTTTTGTAAATTGTTAGCTAGTAATACGTATTCCCTGCTTTTACTTTTATATTTGTATTGCTATTTGCTTTATTTTCAATTAATGTTTCTCTTGCTTGAAAGGATTCTTTGTCTGAGAAAAATATGGGTTCGATGGGATTAGAATGAGTTACTAATGTATTATGCCAAAATGAAATCTCAACTTTTTCTTCTCGCAAATAATCTTTTCCTAATATGCCGTCTGAGTCTATGGGAAAGTTGAAAGGTACTACTTAAAAAGTCACTTCTTTTCCTTTTTTTCTATTTGAACTGTTCCTAGTGTTCTTAATGTTATAGGAATTATTTCTGCTATATTTATGGCTTCATGCTGAAGAATCTCTAGATCTGGTTGTAATGCATTGAATTTAATTAGGTTTACATCCGCTCCGGTATCTACTAATAGTTTTGCAGATGTGTTTAGAAAACTCTATGATTTCATTGTAATTACTGGGGATTCTTTTGTATTACTTGTGTGGTAGATTTTTCTTGTGATCGTAGAATCCGTACACTTGTCGGACGGTCTTTTTGTTGTGCACTCGTCGTCGCGTCTGTCCGTCGAGCTGAGTTCAAGTTTAAATTATCCTTTTCATCAAGATGTGGGGATTGAGCGCGTGGTGACGTTCTAGTCCCTTCATATGATTTGTTCCCTTGAACTTCTTGTGGTAATGAGTGAGAATAATAAGGATATGAATTATAAGGCACATAAGCATTAGGAGGATAATAGTTAGGATGACTAAAGATTTGTTGTTGGTGACTGGTAGATGCGTACTGTGTTGAGTAAGGATTTTTTAGTATTCCGGTAGGAATTGGAGGTTGAGTGTGATATCTCATTTGTTCATTAGGGTAGGGAAAACGCACTCTTGGACTAGGGCTTCTTTTTCTATGTCCGCAGTCACTTGGTTGATAATGACCTGAATAGTGATAAGCATTATAATATTGATGTCGGCCCTCAAAATCTAATGCGAATTTGAAGGCTTCTTCTAAGGTAATCGAGTTCCGTATCCAATAAGGCGACAAAAAATTTAAAATTTACTAGATTTGTCGAAAACTTGTTACTAGGAGGTTTTCGTTATCGCTGATTACGAATTTGATATCACTTTTTCAAAATTTAAAATGTCAAATCCAATAAGTCGGATGGCAAATTTAAAAATTTAATAAAAATTTTTGGTCGCCATATTGGATCCGCCATTTCGAATTATGAAAAACTGATAGCAGATTCGTAATCAGTGACCCCGAAAACCCCCGAGTAACATAAGTTTCAAGCAAATCTAGTGAATTTCAAATTTTTTTTGGTCGCCATATTGGATACGCCATTTTGAATTTTGGAAATCTGACATCGTATTCATAATCAGCGACCCAAAAAACCCCCGAGTAACGAGTTTCAAGTAAATCCGATGAGTTTTTAATTTTCGTCCGCCATATTGGATCTGAAAGTTCCATGTCTACAAATATTCATCTTATTCAGCTTTTCCGGGCATTGTCGACAATGCTCAGTCTATCTTGGGCAATGTCGAAAATGATATAAATAAAGAAGTGTTAATGATATAAACAAAGTTCATATTATTTCCCTCACAATAAACTTTCGTCAATGAATAATTTGTAGTGTTAAGAAAAATTTTATTGACTAGTGAATAATCAACTGTCGAAAGTTAACGACGCAAGTAGGGTCAGTCGGGGTAAATCCGAACGGGGGGTAAATCCGAACGCTAATTATTTCAGCTTAATTAAAATTTTTAAAAATAAGTTCGATATGAGAATTTTTACCTCAGATCCTCTTGAAGAGATTCTAAGTATTATCCCATTTTTTGTTTGTTAATTAGCAACAGCATAAACAAAGATAACAAGTATTGCAAAAAAGATTGAAAATCAAAGATGACACTCTTTCAGTATTTTGTCTCGTATTTGAAGAAAAAGAAGCTAAAAATTCATTTTATTATTTATAATTGTTTGTTATGAATACTAGAACAGAAACTATATTTGATTTTTGCCTTCTGTAAAATTTTATTAATAATATCAGACCGTTCGTATTTACCCAAGAAAATTGGAAAACTGGGGTAAATCCGAACGGTATTTTCAATAATTTTTTTTTACATCAGAGCCACACAAAATTGTTTATATTTGATTACACTATTATTTTAACATTATAAAAGTACATAGAAAAAAGTTTTTCTTTCTATACGTATCCTCGTTAGTAATTAATAAGCAGAAACTTAATCTCTGTTCTCTCGAAGGAGTGTTTCAATTTTTTTGCCAAATGGTTTGTTGAAAAAAGTTTTTCAGGATCTTAATAAAATTTGGTATTCTACGGTTTTTGGGGTCGCTAATTACCAATTTGAAGTCAGTTTTTCAAAATTCAAAATGGCGGACGACAATTACAAAATTCATTGGATTCGCTCGAAAATTGTTACTCGGGGGGTTTCAGGGTTAGCAAATTAGATCATTTTTAAAAATAAGTTTTAGGAAAGTACGCCATTTTGAATTTAAAAAATTTGACTTTTATTTTTGTATTTACATTCAATCACTCCAAAATACTTTCTGTACCAAGTTTTGCAAAAATCCGTTATGATTTGATAAAGTTATTGAAGGTTTTAATTGTGTAATGCATTTTAATTTTTAACCTGTTTGATTTTTGTATTTATATATGATGCATTATTACATAATAGGTTTATTATCGTATTTTTTTTGAGTTTTTATATAAGTTTAACAATTGCAATACTTTAAATTTATTTTCCCTAAGATTTTTCTGAAATACAGTGGCGTTCGTATTTACCCCCATATTTTAGGAAAGTTGCAAAGTATCGAGGTAAATACGAACGCTAAGTTTCCTGCGATTGTAATTTATCAAAAATTTTTTCTACCCCATAAAATTGTTCTATGGAAGTAAAGTAACAACTTCATGCACCAGAATACCGGAAGTATTTTTTTTTAAAGAAAAAACTTATGTTATTGTTGAAACTTACTAAAAGCGTTCGGATTTACCCCAGTTGACCCTATCTATTAATTATAATTTAAAATGGATAATTCAGTCGACAAGAACCGTTTTCAAAATAATTTAATGAATCGAATATCATCGAAACGTGCAGATAATAGTGCCTTTCTTTATTCTGCTGAATACGAAGAATGTGTGAAAAAAGTGGGTAGTTTGAAATTAAAAATAAAAAAGACTTCAAATGAGTGTAGATTTTTAAAAAAATATGACACGATTTCTGTTAACTACAGAAGCGCCTATGGGCCTCTCAAAGGCACGTACACACGTAGGCAAAATGTAGCAAAATCGAGTTGAATTGACGACACGTATGCACGCGTGCGTGCAATTTACGTTCTGTTACGTTTTCAACGTGTATGTCTGGACAGGCTGAAGATTGTATAAAAATATATTTGTATTTATTTATTTAAATATTTTATAAAAAATAAAAATAAACAAAGGGTTAAAAGGTAAGTGACCATATTTTTTTAATGATATAATTAATTTTTATTTGTAAATATATATATTTGTATAAAATTATACTCGCTTTCTGAAGAAAAATTCCTTTTTAAATTATCCGCTATTTGAAAACGTAAAATTCTTCAAAACCAAGCATAAGCGTAATTTTTTTTATTTATTTATTTTGTGGTTTAATTATATTTTCTTATTGCCAAGAAAGTTAAGAAAAGAATTTTTTGTTCATGAGAGTTTTGAAACTTGAATTAAATCGTAATTTTAAAACATGTACTTTAAGTATAATTTTATTATTTTATTACTATGAACAAAAATAAACAAATCAATTTGATCGCATTTTAGGCAAATTGTACAGAACTTTTATATATCAAACAATTTTTATTAAACAAAGTTTCCATTTAATTAAGGTACAAAATATATATAAGATTT